CCCGCCCCCTGGCTAATGCCGCGCCCTCTGGGCCCACCCCTGGCTCTGGCCCCGCCCCCTGACTTACGGTGACCTCCTGGTACTGCTCCATCCCGTTCAGAACCACCTGGATGACGTCGCGGCGCAGCCGGACGCTCTGGTCGCTGCGGTACTCGGTGTTGGTCAGGTAGAAGAGCGCCGCGCTGCCCGTCACCTGGATGCTCTTATCGTACTTATGGCACTTCAGGGCGGCGATCACCAGCTGCACACAGGGAGAGGAGACAGCTGAAGGCCTGCGGAGGCGGGGTTCTGGTTCTGACCCGGTTGGACCCGGAGCTGACCTGCAGCGCCCGCAGCAGCTGGCTGCAGTGCTGTATCCGGGCGATGTCGAACAGCTGGTTGATGGCTTTGTGGGCGAGCTCCGGGCGAAACTCGGTGTAGGCTTCGATGGCGTTCAGAACCTGATCTTCGTTCTTTGACCCGGTCACCTGAGGGGTCAAAGGGCAACACACAGGAGAGGTCAGCAGAACCGGTCCAGTCTGTTAGAACAGCTGCAAATCTGGTTTAAACTGAACTTTATCCCAGTTTTAATCTGAGTTTGAATCTGTTTTAAAGGTTAATGAGGTTCTATATTTTTACAGCAGCTTTAAACTCTGATCTTTTGTTTTGGCTGCATGGGAGCAGGAAGTGACGGGTCAGTGACCCGGGCGGTTCTGGTTCTGCTGGTACCTTGTAGGCCGGGATGTGTGTGACGTTGCAGAGCGTCGTGTCGTAGAGGCCCAGGAACTGCAGCGGCCTCTTCAGCTCCTGCAGCGGGTAGATGCTGCTCTTACACGGCTCGGTGCTGCAGGACACAGACGGGCGTTAACCTGGGGGAACCGCGTCAGGACCGGGCCAGAACCGGGTCAGGACCGGGCCAGAACCGGGTCAGGACCCACCTGGGCCGGCCCACGGCCTCCTCGAAGTGCGGCATGGTGCAGTTGTCCAGCATGATGTGACCAGAGATGTCCAGGGAGACGAGGTGGAGCAGCCGCTGCACCAGAACCGTCAGGATCTTCCGGGTCATCTTGAACTTCACGTTCCGCCTGCTCTCCCGGGACAGGTCCAGATGTCTGCAGAACCGGGTCAGAGGTCAGAGGTCAGGGCATGACCAGCGGCTTCAGCATGATCAGAATAAACACAAGCCAAACAGTAAGAAGCTTTTAAACCCAGAGAATCTGGACCGGTTCTGCTCCAGCAGGAGAACATCTGCAGCAACTGGTTCAACTGGTTCAACTGGTTTGGTAATCAGGACGTTTTCCAGCTGCTGCTCAGTTTACCTGCTTCACCACAAACCCTGACAACATGACCCACATCAGGAAACCAGTTCAACCAGTAACACTCAGCTGGTCCTCCACTGGTTCCAGTTCAACCAGTAACACTCAGCTGGTCCTCCACTGGTTCCAGTTCAACCAGTAACACTCAGCTGGTCCTCCACTGGTTCCAGTTTCTAACATGAAGCGGCAGAATGTGGATAAAATTGTTGCTGAATCTCAGAGGATTGAGAATAAAGTTAAATTAACTGTGAGGCAGATAAACATGTTTACGTTTCACTGGGTATATTTATACATTTAAACATTTATATTTCTATATCTACATTTATACATCTATATCTATATTTCTATATCTACATTTATACATCTATATCTATATTTCTATATCTATATTTATACATCTATAACCGATTGAATAAATGGAACCCAGTCAGAGGAACCTGCTCTGTTTCCTGGTTGATCTAAACCAATCCACTGGGTCAGGAACAGGAAGTGGCTGAGCATCAGGACTTCCTGTAGGATCAGACGCTCTGAACTGAATCAAAGTGAAACTGAAAGCATGCCGACCCCTGACCCCTGACCCCTGAGCCTCAGCTGATGAACCAGGATTATCAGATTGCTTCATGTCCTCCAGATTTCCCAGCATGCTCTCCTCCTACCTGAGGTTGACCAGCTCCAGCACGGTGCCGACCACTTCCTCCGACAGATCCACGTTGTAGAGGACGAGCGAGGCCAGCCGCTCCCTCCACTGCGTGAGGAAGGCCGCCCCCTGCAGGCGGACGTTGGACAGGTCCAGCGCGGTGACGGAGCGCAGCGGCCGCAGCAGAGACTCCGCCTCCACGTCGTCGGGCAGCTGGCCCAGGTTCAGCAGCCGCAGCCGGTTGAAGCCCTGGAAGCTGAAGTCCGTCTCCAGGGCCTGCCGGGCGGCCGGCACGTCCTCGTCCTCGTCCTCGGAGTCCTCGGTGCAGGCCAGCGGGGCGCCGCCCTTCCTGTAGAAGATGTTACTGCAGCCGAACAGGCAGAGAGACACCAGCGTCTCCCGGAAGCTGGACAGCGTCTTCAGACTGCGGGACGACAGGCTGTTGCAGTAGGTGAGGTGGAGCTCGATGAGGTCCTGGAGGGAGGAGAGTGGTTTATACTGGTTTATACTGGATTATACTGGATTATACTGGTTTATACTGGTTTAGACTGATTTACACTGATTTATACTGGATTAGACTGGTTTAGACTGGTTTATACTGGTTTATACTGGTTTACACTGATTTATACTGGATTATACTGGTTTATACTGGTTTAGACTGATTTACACTGATTTATACTGGTTTACACTGGTTTACACTGGTTTAGACTGGTTTATACTGGTTTATACTGGTTTACACTGATTTATACTGGATTATACTGGT